CCACAAGCCCTGATTGTTTTTTCCTCTAGACCAATATGGATACAACCTGGAAAATGAAGTAATGCACATTAATTAAGACTTTTTACTTGGTCCTTAAAAGACTAAAAATTATGCAAGAAAGTATTTTTGTTAATTAACCTCGTAACATAAACCTGGGGGAATTCAGTCATACAATAGTTCCACAGAGTAACAAAAGGTATATGTGAAGCAGCAAATAGGTTGGGATATCCTAAGGCTGCTAAAATATCATCACCATGATGTTCTGGAAGGACTAAGATGTCTTTCAGGACACAGCTAAAACTAATGAGCTATTTCTGTACCTGTCCTCTTTTAAACGAAAAGTAAAGGAACAATAAAGCAAACGAAAGAAGCATCATTACCAATGCCATAATAAAGGCTGGAAAGTTGGACAAAGCTTCACATTTGGTGAAAGCAACTTAGCAAAGCACTAAAAAGAGCTCACTACCTCATTCCTGTAATTGAAGAACTATTAGCTGACTTGGCAAGAGCAAATATAGTCTCAGTGCTGGCGCCCAAGGCAGATATTGATGGTTGCTCCTAGGTAAGGAAAGCAGATAGAAATGATTAGGAGAGCTGTTTAAAATCACACCTGCATAACAATATCAAGACAAGTAGCAAGGTGTATTCACAGGGCTCAGGGAGATCCACATCAGGGCCCATGACACATGCAAGTGTCTGGCAGAAGCTGTGGTGGGACACCACCATAACTTCATGTGTGTGCCACAGTCTGGGGGAAAAAAATCTGCTTTTTATGATGCAAGATGAAATTGCGATTGCAGCAGCATCCCAAAGGGAATAATCACTCATTGACCTGATGCCTCAAAAGGCAAGCTGCCCCAACCAGCACCGTACCTAAACTCCAGGCTAACTTTTAGTATTGGGCTCCCTTTTACCATAGATAATGATAATAATAATCAGATAATGGAATAAAAATAACCATTTTCAGACCCCCTTTCTGTCTGGGCCCTGGGCGGCTACCTGGTTTGCCTATTCCTGTGTCTTGGCCCTGGCCCTGACTTAATGGTAATGGTATGGAAGGATTCAGAGACCATCAGGGTTTGTAAATGATTCAGCACTTCTGTCTCACCTCTCACAGGTAGGAATGAGGCAACTGTTGGACAGACGGGCCCCACAACACGCAGCACACGACCAGGTGCCCAGTCCCCTGGGCTAACACCGTGCCAGTGAGATGGTGCTTAAGGCACAATTGCTCCAAAAAGGAAGCCAGCAGCTTTTGTGACAGTAGCCAGTTGCTTTTTGGCCCCGCACAAAACAAAACTATAACCCCCAGAGCTAAATGCCCGGAAATAGTGTTTTCAAGGAGAATGGGCACTGGAAGGGACAAGCCGGGTAGTACAGACGGGAACGCAGCAATCACACAGCGAAGCCCCCCAAGCACCTGGAGGCGGGGGCCCGAGAGCACAACGTGCATGCGGACACAGCGCCTTTCAAGCGCTCGTGGGACCCACTCGGAAACCAACGCGAAGCACAAGTCACCGCCCTCCCAGCGGCACTGGATCGCACTGCATAGGGGTCCTGCGCCCCTTGCTCTTCCTTTCTTAAAGCGTTTCCCATTGGACGCCCGCCTGCGGTCTTTCGACGCCCACCAACCACTCTCTCCCTGATTGGTTTGACGGTCGGCGTGACCTCTCGAGCTGCCCGCCCCTTCCGGCCTGGCCGGCGCCGTCGGTTGGCGGAGCCGCCTGTCAGTCTCCACGGGGAGACCCGCCCCTCTCTCCTTTGCGGGACGGAAGCGAGCGGTTGCGCTCCTTTGCGGTCCCTCCTCCCCTCCGCCGTGCGCTGGTCCGGGCCCGCCGAGTCGGGATGAGCCGCGCGTCGCCATGGAGACCAAACGGGCCGAGATTCCCAGCAGCGTCCTCGACGACCTGTGCAGGTGACGCCGGGGCCCCCGCGGCTCCCCGCCCCCGCCGGCCCGGCCCCGCGGCTTGGGGTCGAGGCCGCCTTCACTTGCAGCAGGACCCGTTGGTAAACAGGCGCGGCCTGTTCCATCCAGCGCCCCTCGCCCCGCCCCAGGCCCGGCC